GCGCCACGTGTTCCGAGTGCGCCAGGTGTGCCGCACACTCCAGCCGCGCCAGGTGCGCCACGTTCGGGGCACGGGGAGAGTGCGTCAGGTGCGCCTGCGCACGTGACAGCACACATCGGGAAACATGTCGGCCCCAACCATCTTTGTCGAAAGCGAATGCCCATCATAGTGTCTGGTGGGCCTGCGCACAGCAGGCCACGCGCCACCAACCCCGCCGTCAATGTCAAAAAACACTTGACAGTGATCGCGGGGTGGCCGCGCATGATCCGGATTTAGCCGCGAGGTGCATGTTGTATCGTGTTTTTTGTCAGGGCTGGTAGCCTTGCGCACAGCAGGGAATATGCTGACACCCCCGCCGTCCATATAAAAAAAAGTGCTCGCGGGCCTCACGAGCATGACTCAAGACTTTGCCCCAAGGTGTACTTTCTATTGTTTTTGACAGAGATGCTGGGGGGGGCGCATCGGGTTGGCCGCGCATGCTCCAAATGTGGAGGCAGATTGCGCTTTGTATTGTTGGTTGCCAGTGATGGTGGGGGGAGGGCCCGCATGGGGTCGGCATGGTGCCTGGTTGGTTGCCGAACGGGCGGGGGAGGGGGTGCACACTAATAAGGAACAGTGATCAAGACACCCTCCTAGATATCAAGCCGTCTAGCTCATTCCCACCCGCCCTCCCAACACATAAGTAAGACCCGAGCCTCGGCATGTTCAGCGGTCTGTGCGCGACACTGGGGAGAGGTGCGCGTGCCAGGCACGCCTGGTGCGCCAGATGCGCCACGTGCTCCCGCGTTCGCCAGCTGTGCCGCCTACTCCAGCCGCGCCAGTTGCGCCACGTTCGGGGCACGTGCACAGCGTGTCACGTGCGCCTGCGCGCGTGACAGCACACATCGGGAAACATGTCGGCCCCAACCATCCTTGTCGAAAGCGAATGCCCATCATAGTGTCTGGTGGGCCTGCGCACAGCAGACCATACGCCACCATTTGAGTGATCGCGCGGTGGCCGCGCATGATCCAGATTTAGCCGCGAAGCGCATGTTACATTATTTTTTGTCATGGGTGGTAGCCCTGCCCAGCAGGCAATATGCTGACACCCCCGCCGTCCATATCAAAAACAATACGAAGTGCTCGCGGGCCTCACGAAGATGACTCCAGCTTGTACCCCAAGTGTACTTTATACTGTTTTTGAACAGGGATGGCGGAGGGGGCCCTCACTAGGGGTCCGCATTGTTCCTGGTTGGCTGCCGGTCGCTTGGGAGAGGGGGGGAATATTCATAGGCAATGTGATTGACCCCTCCTCGAAGGGGAAAAAAGGGGGTGGGAAGAGACAGCTCTCTAGACCATCTACGCCCACAGTGCTGGTGGAATTCTATTCTCCCAATTTTGTCAAGTTCACCTGGCAGCTTGGCTACGCAAACAACAAAAAAATTGACGCTTCGCGTAACCACACCAGTCGCACCGTTCCGTCGCCCCGGACGCCGCTTCCGCTCCTAGACTGTCGCCGGGGAGCCGCCGACGAAAAAAAGTAACCACACCAGATCGGGGCCGCATGGAGCCCCTGAGTGCACGTGGTTCAGCCTATGCTCTCCTGGCTGTCGGACGACTGTGTTGACTACGTCCACGGTTCCTGGCGGCGATGCCCACGGCACCCTCCTGTTCAGTCGGGATTGCCTTGTTCCTGGTCAGCTCTTACACGTCGGCGCTCCTGTTCGAGAGTGCGCTCGGCTTTTCCTGATCCGGTGGTTCAGGCGTGTTACGGTGTCGATTACATCCATCGTTGTCCTGGCCACCTTCGCTCGCCTTCCCGGGATCACCCCGTGGACGGTTATATGCAGGATCTGTGCTCCCTTCAGGAGTCGTGGTGTGCGACTTTGGTGGCGCCAGCCTATGCACCAGTTTAGGGCCAGTACGATCCCCTGGCAGCTGACGCAGTGTACTGTTGGTTGCCTTCCTGGCCACATCCTGGTACCACCACCGCGCCATTGTGGCTGCGCTCCAACCCTGGTTGGTTAATCGTGCATGTGCGCGCTCCTGGTCCTGGTCCCTGGCAGCTGCAGCCCGCACCCCCCCTCACGCCGGCCCGGCCGCCGACGCGCTGCTGAGGTCGCCGACCCGTCCGCGCTAGGCAATTGGGCTCTTTCGCGGCCCGCTCGGACCTTATTCGCCGCTGGCGCTCTCGCCTGCGGTTGCGACAAAAAGTAACCACACCAGAGTTCTCGGAGAGGGGATTGCCCCGGATTTTTTCTCTCAGGAGTGAGTGTGCGACTTCGGTGGCGCCGCTCGTACTGGTTCTTGGTCAGTGACGTATGCCTGGCCATCGGTGTTATTATTACCTCCTGGAGCGTATTGCAAGCGAGCTGCCCCCTTCTGGGGCTTGGTGCTTGGATGTCTCGTGTGGTTTATCCTACGTCAAATCCTACACGCCCTCTGCGGTCACTCGTCCGCTTCGCTGTCTGTGACCTTGCCGCGCCATTTGGGCTGCGTTTAGCTCCTTGGTTCAATTCGTGCATCTGCCCTGCCCCCGGATCCTGGTCCTGGTTGCAGTTTGCCTCGCCCGTCGGCAAGGTTTCGGGCCCTGCCCCGCTTCCTGGCCCCACCTCGCGCCGCCCGGCAGCTTAGGCAGCTTAGGTTCGGCCGTCGGCCCCCGTGCGCTAGGCAATTAGGCTCGCGCGTAGCCCGCCCGACCTCTGACGCTGCTGGCGCGCTCGCCTGCGGCCGCGACGAAAAAGTAACCACACCAGATATCCTGTTGTCTCCTTTCTCCTCTCACTAGTGTGCAATGTAGGTTTCTGCTGGTTAGCGGTTGCCCTAGACGGCGTGCGGCCTTCCGCTTGCGTTCGCGATCTCAGCGAAACAAAAAAAAAACGACAAGTAAATAAAAAACAGCCCATCCAGAAACGATGCCCAGAGGAATGGCAGGGATGTGGACAGCATACAGAGGAAGGGTCCCCCAGTGGAGGCCTCTTGGAGCGTCTTGGGGGCCTCTTGGCGGCCCCGGACCCCTCTTGGAGCGTCTTGGGTGCCTCGGAGAGCTCCTTGGGGCCTCTTGGGGGTCTATAGGGAGCCTTTTGGAGCCCTCTTGGGCGCCTGTTGAGGCCTCCTGGGGCCTTTTGTGCAAGTCGAATTGGGTATAGCGCAGTGGTATTTGTTATTTCTCTACCCCTCGATCTTCGTCAGATCGGGTTCCTCCCCAGGAGCCTCTAGTCAAAAACGTGCGCCCTTAAGCACAAACAAGGAGACGTTCGCTTGAGAGAGGAACGGCAACGGGCATACACAGCAAACGCATGCTCATTTCACATGAAATGCTCAGGTTTGTCAATAGGGAAATCTGCACGGATAAGGGCCCTCCAAGCTGAGCACACTTCAGTCCTGATCTCCATCTGAACTGCTGCCACATGATGTGGCCTCGTAGTCTGGGAAGTCTCCCTCGTGGTGGGCAGCCCTTGATGATGCTGTGAGGATCACTCCCGATGCATCTGAAGTCATCTCGCGTGGCATTCCTGCCGGCGCATGCCAAAAAGGGAGTATGCTGACCGCCCTCCGTTTCTTGGCGCTCTGGTATTCGGCTGTCGTCCCCTCCTTCAAAGTCAAGGCCTCCACGTCGGTCCGCTTCTCCTTGCCACGGAAGGTGTACACGGTCGTCTGGAGTTTGTCGTAGAGGCCATTGGCGTCCACGACCACGGCAGGTGGCAGACTGGCGAGGGCCTCCTCCGGGATCTACCAGTCGATATTGTTGCCCAAGATCTTTGGCCACTGCAGTTTTACACCGAACAGCTCATCTTCTCCGTCTACTGCTGACCTCGTTTCACATGCGACTGAGCTCCAGCATCCACGGTCTATCTTACCTGACTTCCAGGATATCATGCTCACGTCCGTCCCGTCACCCTGGAGAATCTTCAGTGGGGCCATCCCACAGACCAGGCCCTTAGTAGACTTGTCGGTGGTCGGCGCGTCCTTGTTCTTCTTGCGCTCGGGGGGCAGAACTGCCTTCTCGATGGTCTTGATGTACTCGCTCTGGTCCATGTGGAAGCTCTGGTCGTTCTGCTGCTTGATCCGGACGCCAATCTGCATTAACTGTTCTGTCTCCCAGGTCTTCCACTTGAAGCGCTCCTCGATCTTCTTCCGCGCTTCTTTCCACCGTGGGTCAGACCCCTTTTCCCCAATCAGGAAGTCATCCACGCGCGAGCCGGTAATGGCTATGATGTCGAGGTTGCCCTTCGCCGCGATCAGCATGTCCAGCTTCTCGGGGTCCACGAAGTCCTGCAGCGCCTCCTTAGTGAAGCTATTGAAGCCAGGCCATGACATCACCTGCCGCACGATATGCCGAGACGTACGTGTCATTGTGGGTGCTGTCGTTGGGCGGTGCTCGTACCCTGGGTCCATGTAGCCTAGAAACACGATCCTGCCATTCGGTTTCTTCTCGCCTGCGGTCTCGTCCACCTTCCACTCCAGGATCCGCCGCATGCGCATGGCGCCTTCCTGTGGAGGGCTGATTCCCGGGGGCAGGGATTCCAGTACCGAGGAGATGACGTAGTTGTTCACATCGGTGTCCTTCGCGACGCTGAGCCTCATCATCTCGTCGGGTGTGAGGGTCCTCTCTGAGATCTCTCGCTTGCCCTTGCGCAGCTGGCTCGCCATGTAGGAGCTCATGTGTCTCGTGGCCTGCTCCAGGGCTTGTCCTGCGAGAGGCATCTCCACCGACACCTCCAGTGACGTACCCTGCCTTGCCGAGAAAGCCCGGGCATCTGGCGAGGCCTTCGCCATGAGGGCAGCTCTCTCCTTCGTGGTCTCCTCGGCTGCTGCAGCTCTCGCTGCCTTCGCCCCGTCTGAGGTGCCGCCTGGATGCTTCCCTTTCTTTCGGATCGATTTCCGCACTGGCTGGGGAGGGGAGCTCCTCGGAGGCTTACTTGGCGGCTCCCATGACGTGCCCTCTTCAGGGGTGGTCCTGGCTCAGGCACTCCTTCCCAGGAAGCCACCTCCTCGTCCTGGTCGGTGGGGTCGTGGCCTCAGAAGTCCAGGCACTCCTGCTTCATTGCCTGCTTCATGAAGGTGTGCACCGTCCATGGGGTGTCCCTGCCGCCCATGAGCTCCGCGCAAGCGATCTCACGCGCCGACGCTGCTTGGATCTGGCACAAGTCCACCCTGATGATGCGGCCTGCCCGGACCAGCCACACCACTGGCCCAGCCCGTCCTGGATGCAAGGTATGGTTCTCCCCGAGGTCACCGTCCGCCGGGCGACTGGTCTCCGCAGCGAGCACCCGCGCGAAGCCCTTGAACTGGCCCCGGGTCTCGCCCTTCTCCTTGCGGACGTAGCGCACCCACATGCCAGGGGACACAGCCTTCAGCGCCTGGTTCTTCGCGTCCTCCGCCCGGCTGATCCGTCGCCGGTAGACCTGCCCCAGGTACTCCTGCTCTGTGGCGTACATCTTCGTGTAGTTCTCGCCGTACTTCTTGTCAACCCGGTGGGCCTCGACGTATGGGGAGCTCGTGAAAGTCAATATCAAAGAGGTGGACGTCGAGGTCTGGCGCCCTCCCCAACGCATGCTGGAGTGGGGAGTGGCGTCGAACGTCCCCCCGAGAGTTTCCCGCTGCAGGAGCTCGGGCCAGGGCCTCCTCGGTGGTAATCTCCGGGTTCTCCGCCACGAGCCTGTCCATCGTTCTTCTCGTGGCCAGGATAGCCTCCTCCGCCAAGACGGTGTGCCAGTGGGCCTGCCCTGGGATCGTCTCGTACACGATGGAGTCAGAGTCGAAGTATTACGCAGCCTGCTTTGACATCCACGAGCCCTCAGGGTCCACCTTGACCCTCCGAGGCCTCCCGAAGTATCGCAACCACCGCTCCTCGTAAAAGCTCTTCAGGTCGGCCCACACTGGATTCCTGTGTCGGCCCTCACCCGTCATGTGGTAGAGCAGCTTGCTGACCTCACCTTACAGTTCTCGTCGATGACCAGTGAGAACTGGGACTTGATCTTCTTCCGAGGTTGCTCCCACTCGAACTGGTCGGCCTGGATGCGCTTCCACTTTGGGGGTATGGTTTCGAGGCTGACTGGCGTATGCGTCGGTCGGTGGTGGTTCACCTCAGCACAGGCAACGCTCTGGAAGTCCTCCGCCACGCGCAGCACCTGAGGGCACACACTCTTCCTCCTCAGCGCGTTCAGCATGGAGGCCTTCGGACTGTGGCCCGATCCTCTACGCACAGAGGTGAGCCATCGCATGATCTGCTGGTACTCCTTGGAGCTCTGGTCCATGCCCATGAAGTCGTTATCTTTGCCTGCGTTTAAGGCCTGCTCCTCCGGCGCCCGGGCATCAGTCAGGCCCCTCATGAACTCGCGGTAGTCGGGCGCACCCTCCTCAATCATGGCTCGCACTGCCCTCTTCGCAAACTCGTCTATATAGTAGCTCGTGAATGCTGTGAGTCCACCTCCTGTGAGCTCGCCATGCCGATGACCTCCTGGACCCTCAGAGGCCATCTTCGCCGCCATCTTCGCGCTCGTGATGGAGGCTGGACTGCAGGCCACCTCCATTAGCTTGACCCCTCCATGGGCGAGTAGCGCCTCGAGGTCCTCGGTGTGGTTGGTCTCCTTGATGCACCTCGCGAGCCAGCGCTGCTTCCGCGGGCCCAGCTCCTTCGCGTGGGTCAGACCCCGTCCAGACCATTCGGATTGGAACCCACTGGAATGAAGCTCCCGTCGGACGTGCACGGTGCTCTCGGCTGCTCCTCGAGCCTCTCCGGCCTCTGGTTCAGCTGGCCTAGCGCTGATAGCACCTCCTCCTGGACGCGGCGGTTGACCTGCTTCTCCTTCAGGTCCGCGGCCTGCTTCTCCTCCTCCGCGAGCTCGTCCTCCATCAGAACGTCCACTGCCCCATGGCGAGATGACCTCGCGCCCCATCGAGCCATGGTCGGCTCCACCGGGACATCCACATGGTCCTTGGCCATCTGCTTTTGTAGTTGGACGACTCCCGTCTCGTTGAGCCATGAAACAAACCTGACGAGCTCCCAGCTGCTCTCAGAGTTCGCCTCCTTCTTGGCCCACTTGGCGTAGGACGACGGGAACTGGATCAGGACCTGCTGGTAGGTCATGGCACCGCGCTTCCCGAACCCCATGTAGTCGGTCGGCTCCGGCGCGGTCTTCTGGAGGACTGCCTTGCGCATCGCTAACTCGAGCGCGGCACTCGCAATGTTCGGCGCGATGTGGGCCCCGACCCCCGTCGCCGCCCCGATCCGCTCGGCCTTCTTCATGGAGCTAATGCCCTTCACGGCCCCCTGTGCCTCCGCCTCGTTCCGCGGGAACAGGTTATCCTTGATGATCTGCTTCAGCTCGCCCGAGCTCCAGACGGGGCTGAAGGCGGGGCCAAGCTCCTCGATCACCTTCACCACCTCCGCCTTGAGGAGCCCCTGCACGCCGCTGCGCGATGTTGGCATTGCCCATGCCCGCGTCGCACTGGCACGCGGCCCCGACACAGGCGAGCTGGATAGCCCCTCGGAGGAAGCCGCTGCAGAGCTTCTCTCTGCCATCGACCGGCGGCGCCCGGGAATATGGATGATATGGGAGGCGTGGCGGTGTTAGATGCCCCACTGAGTCGATCATTCCACCTGCTGGAGATCGCGCCGGCCTCGAGCCGCAACGGCTATGGACGCGTCCGTGACCCCCGCCAGGATCTGGTGACCACTCGGACTGCGCTCTCGATTCTAGCTCGACCGAACTTTGGCCAGCGCTGTGGCTTGCGAGAGAGGGGACAAAGAAGCCTCGAGCATTCCTCGTCTCGCACTGCGCGCCGATCCGGGCCCTGCTCTGAGGTCCGGCTCGCAATTTCACTCCGCCCGCCTCACTCAGAGATGTGCCGGCTGGTCTCGATGAAGTTCTGCGGCTCGCGTGGGTCTTCGACTTTCTGCTCGAGGAGGCCATCCACTACGCTCATGTAGTAGTGGCCCCCATCTAGCGATTCCTCAAGCTGGACTTGGGACGTCTGGGGCCAGCTCCACGAACACTGCGACACTGGTGTCGCAATCCACGACTGACCCCAGCTTCTTCAGCACCTTCTTGGACACGAGGATCGGGACGTCCTTCGCAAAGCCGTCGACGGCGATGTCTCCCTGCACGCCCGCGCCCGCGATCCCGAGCTTCACCTGGCCGTGGGCGCGCTCCTTCTCGCCGTTCCCGAAGGCGCACACTGGGCGGTAGTCCAGGCTCGCCTCCTGGAGCCGCGTCTCCCCGCACTTCTTCATATTCTCGCGGGCAACGACGTCAAGCGCGCGCCCCCCTCCCACGGCGCCCGCGCAACCCAGGTCGACGACCCCCTCGCCCTCACGGATGGTCTGCTCTGCAGACATCGCCTCGCACGTCGAGCCCCCACACTCCTGCTCGGCAGCCATCGCGGCCACGAGGTTGAACTTCAGCTCCTTCCTGCAGGTGGCCACCTTCGCGCTCGCGTCTGGCGCGTTCGCCGCGCCACCTCGGAGGCGCGGGCCACGGCGGTCAGAACATTCCCGCAGCCAATGAGCTCCACCACACTTCGTGCACTTCTTCTTGCCCTTGCTCGGTGGCTTGAGCTGGCCCCTGCCTCCGAATTGGTGGCCCATCGGCCGGCGCGATCCCGCTGGGGATCCTCCGCTAGCTCCTCGGCCTCCGCCCTTGGGCGGGGTTGGCCGGTCGCCCTCCCCGGTAGAAACCCCAGCTTAGGCGATTGTCCGCCTGTGCCTCGCGAGCCTGGCGGAGGGCCCGCTGGGCGCTGTGGATCGCGGCCAGGGCCTCCGCCTCCTCGTGCTGGGCTGCCAAGTACGTCTCGATGTCGTCCTGATCTGCCTCGGATTTGTCTGGCTCCTCGTCGCACATCCCCGGAGGCTCCTGACCCGCCGCGGAGCTGCCGGCGTCCAGGTCGTCCTCCCAGGCGCCCAGCCATGTACGATCATCCTCTCCAAGCTGGGCTGCATATGCCGTCGGGTACTTGGCCTGTCCGTCGCGCTCGGCTAGGTCATCATCTTCCCAGTTCGATATCAGTGTCTCGCGCATGATGTCAATGTCGAGCGATCCTCCTGTCGCGGTCAAGGTCGCCGATCTCTCGCGGGAGTCAAGACCTGAGCGCGCGAGCATCAGCCAGCCGAGAACAAGCTCTGAAAAGACCTCTGGCACCTCATCGAGCTCCTCCTCAGCGTCAGCGTCCGGGGCTGCTGCACTCCAGAGGCGGGAGCCCTCAGTCTCGTTGTCGCCTCGTCCGTCCGTGCACCCCCATGTCCACTCCGAGTCGAACGGCCAGTCCTTCTCGATCCACCTCCATGGCCCGGACGTCTCCTGGACCGTCGATGAGGAGCTGGACATTGGGACCGACTGTCCTAGGGCGCGCGCAAGCGCGCGTCGGAGGTACCGGTAATCTGTCTCGAAGCGGTCCGTCCATTGCTGCATCGCCTCGAGCCTCCGGCGCTTCGTCTTTATCAGCAATGTCTCCGGCTCATGGCCGACATCAGGCACAGCTTGACGCGACAACTTCGCTCGAACCATGCCAGAAGCCTCTCGACCCCGTCTACTCTGGAGAGCCAGCCTGGCTTGCAGCGCTCGACCGTGACTTCGGCCCTGCTCGTGACTCGTGCCTCGAGCCTCGGGCCGCACGGGCACCTCTCTTCTCTTTTGGTCCTCTCCTGGTACTGGAGAGCCTTCCGTCTGTACGTCCGTCAGGTTTTAGAGCCTCTGTCCCAGCCTGGCACCTTCTCCCGATGATCGTCACTCGATATCATCGCAAGGTTCCGCGTCAACTACGGGCTCATGCTACCATGCAAGCCTAGTTGGGTATAGCGCAGTGGTATTTTTTGTTCTCTCTCTCTCTCTCTCTTTCTCTCGCTCTCTACGCCTCGATCTTCGTCAGATCGGGCTCTTCTCCAGGAGCCTCCAGTCAAAAAACGTTTCCCCCTAAACACAAGCGAGGGGGCGCTCGCTTGAGAGAGAAACGGCAACGGGCGTACACAGCAAACGCGTGCTCACCTCACATGAAATGCTCGGGCTTCTCAGTCAGGAAATCTGCATCCTGGGCGCCTTTTGGAGCCCTCTTGAAGCGTTATCGGGAGCCTTGGGAGCGCTCTTGGAGCCACCATTGTGCGAAGCCATCTTGAGGCCTCGGATGGCCATCGGAAGCGAAGAGGCGAGAAGCCAAAAACACTTATTTTCTTAAGGTTTTGGAAGGATTTGGGCCTCTTCGGGGTCTTGTGGGGGAGTCCCATGGCCGCTTGCAGCCGTGTTGGGGCGGTCTTGGGGCCTCTTGGAGCATCGCGGGAGCCATCTTGAGGCATTTTGAAATATTTTGAGCCATCTTGGAGGTCATCTTGGGCTCTCCCAGGCACTTTTGGAATCATTTTTAGCAGTTCCCCCCCCAGGAGGCCAGAATGTGGCCAAAACCGTGATAAAATCAATGATTTTGGCATTGTCGCCGAGGCCTCTTAGAGCGTTTTGGCTGCCTGTGGTGAGCCTCTGGGGGCCTTTCGGGGTCTCTTGGGAGCCTTTTGGGGCATCCTGGGGACCTATTAGGGGCCTCTTGGGGCCTCCTGGCCACCTCTTGGGTCCTTTTTGGAGCACCTTTGGGAGCCTTGGGAAAGCTCTTGGGGTCATTCCAGAGGAGATCGATCAAAGAAGGGTGGTCCCTCAATTGGCGCTGCCCCCGAAGACGTCAAAATGAGGCCCAAACCCTAATAAAACCAATGATTGTGGCTTCTTCGCCGAGGCCATTTGGGACGCCCCGGCGACTCGCGAAACGCCCCGTCCACACCCTAAACTACGCCCTGAAGGGCTGGTGGGATTCTTCTTTTCCTCCCCCTCCGCCTCTGCCTCCTCCGCCTTTTGC